AGATGCAAAGCTGGGTCACCTTGTCTCCCAGGAGACAGCGTGCCAGACCCTGAGACTTGTCTGTGAGCAAGACTATCTCAGATCAACCGGTGGTCATCCACTGGCCAGCTGACCCCAGCCACATAGGCAAGTCCAGGCTGACACGAGCCCAGTCAGCCCAGACATGAAGAAGAACTGGTCTAGCCAGAGCCACGAGCCAAAGAAATTGTTATTTCAAGCAACCAAGTTTTGGAGTGATTTCTTACGGATTGGAAGCCAAAATATGCAGAAATTCTCAACATAGAGGTGATGTTTTGATGTATCAGGACATCGTTACCCTTTTTCTACTCAAATGAGATCACAATGCCCTTCTCCATCTTGCTTCTTCCACTTAATGACACGTCTAATGGCAATTTCCCACGTGGTGCATTTCAATCTCTCTCATTATTTTTAATAGCTGGATGAACATACCGCAATCAGCCCAGCCAGTATCCTGTGTCGGTGGCTTCTGGTTTTTGTGATCACAAAGCCTTAGTGAACATTCTTATATACAGCATTTATGCCCGTATGTATTTATCAGAGAAGTTCTTGCAAATATGAATATGGGTCAAACAGCTTTGCATTTAGAATATTAATATTTGTCAAGTCATTTTCCAAAAGGATTTCCTAATTTGTACTTCCTTATGTGTGAGAGCAAGGGTCTATACCAACCCCTTACCAACACTAAATATTTGCCAATCTGAAAGGGAAAAAAAAAACCATATTTCCTTACTGTTTTATTTGCATTTTTAAATCATGAATGAGGTTGAGCATATTTTTATGTGTCTCGTATGTATTTGTGTGTTTTCTTCCCTATGAATCTCTTATTTCCACTCTTTGCTCATTTTCCATAGTTTGTTAAATCTTCTTAAGAATTGGGCTGTAAAAGGTCAATGGATTTTTTTTTAAAGATTTTATTTATTTATTCGACAGACAGAGATCACAAGTAGGTAGAGAGGCAGGCAGAGAGAGAGGAGGAAGCAGGCTCCCTGCTGAGCAGAGAGCCCGATGTGGGGCTCGATCCCAGGAGCCCAAGATCATGACCTGAGCTGAAGGCAGAGGCCCAAGCCACTGAGCCACCCAGGTGCCCAAGGTCAATGGATATTAAAGAAACATTACCATCTTTCTAAACAACGTCTAGATATAGACTTTTAAATTTGAGTTCTAGAGGAGTTTGCCAAGCAATGGAAAATAATTTTGTGCATTCATAAAGTCTTTCACAAGTATGAGATGCTTTAAGGACATCTTCTACTCTAATTCCACAACTGACTTCGAGGCAAGTTTGTTATCCCACCGATTTAATGGTTGAGGAAGGTGAGATGCCAAGATTCAGTGCCTTTCGGTGGGGAGGAATCACAAAATACTCTGACTTATTTCACTTGAAATAGGCATGAAAAGGTTACAAGGTGTTCTGTCTAGCACAGTCTCCGGGATATCAGCACCTTCCCCTGTCTTTGAGCTCCCTTTCAACTCTTGAAATAGCAGGAAACTGATATTAATGCAAATGTTTCTTGTCCATAGACACGCAAATGAATTGTCTGGCAGAGGTGCCATTGATTCTGTCCTGATGGTGATGGGTGCTCTGTCTCGATTTGTCATTCCTTTCAGACTTCCTGCCTGTCTGTACGTGTGTCTCTGTTCTTTCTGCTCTCCTTGGAGCCTCTATGACGTCTTACTGGCTCCCTCGTCCGTGAGTTAAATAAAGTGTTGGCACTTGCTCATTTTATATTCGTATGTACGATTTTACCTTAAAAAAGTGATCCTTTAACTTTTCTCAAGTTTCTAGTCCACACAACCTGTCAGGATCTGACTCAGGGATGTCTGACGGGGATTCTTTGTTAGGATTATTTTTAGCTGATGAAAGCAATGGACCCTTTCCCTGGGAAAAAGAAACAGACACACACCATTTTGCATGCTCTTTTGAGAGTTCCTTGGCCTCTGGGACACTGGTTTAAGAACTCTTAAGATGGGGACGCCTGCGTGGCTCAGTCAGTTGAGCGTCCGACTCTTGATTTCGGCTCAGGTCATGATCTCAGGGTCGTGAGATCGAGCCCCGTGTTGAGCCACGCATTGGGCTTGGAGTCTGCTTAAGATTCTCTCTCTTCCTCTCACCCTACCCCCTCACCCCAACCCCATGCTCTCTCTCTCTTCCTTTCTTTCAAAAAACAAAACAAAACAAACAACAAAAAAGAAACAAAACCCGACACAAAACTCCTAGGATAGAGTCTGGGGTAGTTGCTCAAGATCAGAAGTAGAAAGAGGTAGAAGGGAGAGTTGGGAAAATGGCTTTTTTTCCCCCTCCTCTATACTTGTCATGTGCCAAACTATACTAACTCATTAAATGGTCACAGAAGCCCTGAAAGACCAGAAACTGTTCTAAGAGGGGACATGTCCCTTGCCCAAGGTCACAGAGTGGGTGTGGGTTTTAAACTGATTCCTTTGCACCACAGATATAAGGTAAGGGAATGTAATAGTTCTTATGGGGAGAACATAGATCCGTAGGGAGGAAGGCTTGCTCCCCCCAAATTGACTTTAAATCAGTATGGAACCTGAGATGTTCTGGTCACCTGAACTTCTCATGGTTGGTGAAACCCTGTTTCTGGAGGATTCTAGGGGGAGGAGGGTATGTGAGTGGGAAAGGGGTGGGGGATCATGATGGTTAATTTTATGTCAACTTGACTGGGGCCCCAGGGTGCCGGGATGTTTGGCTCAGTGTCATTATGGAACTCGCCTGAGAGGTAGCTCTGGGTGTGATTGACATTTGAACGGGAGACCGAGTAAAGCTCTACCAGGATCGCTCTACCCAGGGTGGGTGAACGTGAGGCCCGAAGGGAACGAAAAGGTGGCAGAAGGGAGAACCATCTCTCTGCCTGCCTCGGAGCTGAGACTTCGGTCTCCTCCTGCCTTTGGACTCTGACTGGGGCTTGTGCCGTCTGCTCTTTCCTGGGTCTTTGGCTTGGGGACTGCAGATCAAGGGGCTTCTCAGTCTCCATAACCATGAGGCCAACTCCTCCTTCTAAGGAAAAAAAGACAGACATGCATCTCTGTCTCTTTGGAGCACCCAGACTTACACGCGGAGCCCAGAGCAGACCTGTGTCTTTCCATTCCATCCGGAAGGTGGGCCATCTGCTATCTTGTCCGTGACCCTCATGTAGCCAGGGCCTCGGAAATGGCTGCAGGAGGTCTAAAAGGAGAGTCCCCTGCCTGGCCTAGGGTTTCCATGACCCAGAGGGGGAGGGGGACTGTTCACTTTTCCCACAGCTCCCGAGAGCGGGTCTGGGGGCATTCATAACTTGAGGGGGCCCCGTGGCAGAAGAGGTGGGGTGAACCCTGGAAAGGGATGGAATGTAGCACCAGGGCAGAGGGGTCACGGCCAGGCTGGGGTGCACCCAGCGGATGCCCTTGGGGGACAGAGAGAGACGGCTGGGAAGCAGATGTCCCCTCCCTCCAGCCACTGCGGTGTTGTCTGTATGAACACCAGGCTCACCCTCTGTTAATCGGCTCTTGTGCTCCCCCAGCCCTTGGTCGCCTCCTTTCCTCCTGAGCTTGCTGGAGACTAGGTGTCTGTCAGTGATGACCTTCACGGGCTCTGAGCGATTCGGCACATCTCAGTTTACAAAGCACAGTCCTGTTCGCGGGCTGTAGTTGGATTTTGGTACATTGCGTGCTTGAGGGCAAAGCTGGTGTGGCGGCCTCCAGTTTACAGGTGAGAAGGCGGAGGTGGCAGTCCAGCCTGCCCAGTTAGGAGGAAGCCCTCTCCTCTGCAACAGGGGGCTTCTCGGCAGGGCTCAGGCCTCAGGGAAGGTCGGGGTGGCCTCTGTGGGAGTAGGGGTAGCGTAGTCCACAGCTGGGACCCAAAGCATCTCCCTTCCGGGTGGTATCTGGGGACAACAGTGGGCCCAGCCTCACACTTGGTGAAGCACTTTCTCTCCCTTTCAGAACCTCCCAACTGCTCTTCGAGAAAAGTAGGGTGGGGCTTACTACCTCTGTTTTACAGATGTAGAAACTGAGGCTCAGACTGGGCATGTGATTTGCCCAAGGTCTTGCTGCAAGGAATCGGCAGAATCCTTAGGCTCCTTGCAACGGAGGGAGGCTGGCCTGCTAGCTGGGCCCTTGCACTAGTCCTGGGAAATGAACTCTGGAAAGAGCTTACTGTCGTATTCTTTATTCAGACCAGAAATGCAACATCCCTCCCCACTCCAGCAGGATAACCAAAGACACTACATTCTGTTTTAAATTAAAAAAACTTTTCCCTATATTTCTTTCCCACTTTGTGCATTCACATCAAAGCCCTACAGAATTTGTTAGGCATGGGCCAACAGCAAGGTCACTGGGCCAACAGCAAGGTCACCGAGCACATATTCTGCTTGCAGGGGAAGCTTAGCACAACCCCTTGGGCCAACTGGACTGAAGTCCTGGGGGCCGAGCCTCCGTTGTTTGTGTCTGGATCCAGTTCTATTTATAGAGTACTCAGTAGGTGCTCAATACATGTGTCATGAATGAATGAAGAGACATTCCTTGGAGACCCCTCCTTGGCCTCCTCTCTGCTTCTGTTCTCACCGTGGTTCACCTCACCAGAGGAAGAGCCAGAAGGGCCCTTGGGAGTCACCTGTCCAACTGCCTGTGTTAGAGATGAGGTCCAGAGGGGGTGAGTAACCAGCTGGAGGTCACACAGCGAGTTAGAGGAAAAAGGAATGCAAGATGATGCCCTCCTTGGTCCAGAACTCATGTGGGGTTCTCACACAGCCTCTGTCTCCTGAGCCAGGAGGCAACCTTGGGAGGAGCCACGAGAGCTCCTGTATTGCTCGATTTACTGCTGAGTCTGAAGCAACCTTCCTCTGGGTGTGCTCAGGGAGGCTTTCTGGGCCATGGGCCATCTTTGGATGGTGAGGTGGATTTCTCCAGAGGCCTGGGCACCCTCTTGCCTCCTGTCTTGACCTGGAGAGGGAGAGCGGCTCCATCGGTGAGATGTGATTCAATCTCTATGTGGAGGTGGCACAGAGGCTGTTCCATTTGGGGTTCGCAGGTGGAAGGCAGCACAGAGCAGGGACGCAGGTCTGCTGGATGAGAGGGCCTGGGAGAGGCTGCGTCTCCCACAGGTGGCATGGCAAGACGGTGATCTGGCCGGGGCACCAGGCAGAGACCGGCTGGCTGGGAGCTGGTGGATAGCACCTGGTGGGGAGAGCCAGCAGGGGCTGAGTGGAGGGCGGCAGCCTGGGACCCTGTCACAAGGGGAAGGTAAGGCAAGAAGTGAGTCCTAGGCTTTACCTGGAGCTGTGCCGCGGCTTCCCAAACTTTCCCCCAGGACTTGGGCAACTCAGGGTGGGTAGGGGATCATGTTGGGGAGAAATGTGTGCCCCAGGGGCCAGGAAACCCGGTCCTAATCCTGACATTTATAGGACTTGTTTGAGGTGAGAAAGTCACTTTGCTTCTCAGTGCGCAGTTTCTGCATTAGCAAAACATGGAGAAATAAAGACATCCTACCTCATAGCGTCACTGAGGGCATGCACAAACCTCGGACCACAGGACTGTCCATGTTGTGTACTGCTGGTTGCCCGCCGTTTTGTGTCTGACACACTGTCCCATATGCGTGGACCCCACGGACAGCCCATGCTCAGAGCGAACGTCCTAGGTGCCAAGGTTTTTTGTGTCTCAGCAATTTCACCCTCATCGAATAACTACTCTCCTTGGAGGGGCGAAGTGACTCTTCCGGACCACACTGCTCTTCAGTGCAGAGCTGAGATTCGAACCCCGGGCAGTCTGACTCCGGAGCCTACCTGCTCAACCTCAGGCACCGCCCCTTACTCCCTGCTTGCTTGGTCCTAAAACTCTGAAGTTCTGCCCAGTAATACAAGCCCGTCCCCGCAGGAAGGAGAGGCACAGTGATTGTCACCCAAGAGATGAGGATGTGGGGACTGAGAGGGGCAGCGGCTTGTCCCACGTCCCACAGACATCCAGAGCAGTCTTGGCCATGCTCTTTCTGGAAGAGCCTCCCTTGTACCCTCTACTGTGCACAGAATCCCTGGGGCTCCTCGCTTTTGGGTCTGGGTGGGACGTTCGCAGACAGTGCCCCCCACCGCCACGCACGGTGCCTCAGCCACTCACGGCCATGTTGGGGTTCATGGCCGGGGCCGAGCTGGCCTCACTCAGCTGCTGCGGGGCCCTGGGGCTGCCGGTCTTCTGCTTCCGCCACTTGGCACGCTGGTTCTGGAACCAGATCTGGGGTGGGCGAGAAACAGGTTGGAGATCAGCCACGGAGTTTTTTTCCACCCAGTACCTTCCCCACAAAAGCAGGATCCTGATGCTTTCCCAGGGACTGGCACTTTACAGTTTAGAAAGCTCCACAGCATCAGGATTTCCTTGGCTCAGGAGGTTTGCCCTCTGAGAGGGGACCAGAGATCAGAACCTTCAGTGCCTGCGGGGCTGGGGGCTCGAGCCTGAGTGGAGCAGCTGGATACCACATAAAGAGGGGTGGTGGGGTCTGTGGGGAACAGAGCCCGGAGGGCAGAGTGTCTCAGCTTCAGCCAGCAGAGATCCTGTAGAAATGCAAGCCTGGCCTCGCAGGCTCTCCCAGTATCTAAGGCGGAAATCTCAATTTTTAGAGATTGAAAACGCTGTGCAGATCAAATAAAATTCCTCTGTGGGCTGCTTCCTGCTGGCAGGCCATGGGCTCGCAACCCCTGTGGGCCCCTTGGCGTCTATAGGTTGAATATTGGCAGCTCCCTGTCTTCACGGGTGTCCTGGCTGTCCCTGACACATGGGCATTTGTCCTTGGCCATTCTGCCGAGACAGCTTCACAGCGCCTGCAGGTACTGTCCATGCAGCTCCTGACTGATTCTAAGTGGGAAGGGAAAGGGAGAAGTCTGAAACGGCCGTGGTCCATAGCCAGAAGCAAAGTGGGATGGGATAAAATCAAGAGTAAAATGTTGACCTGGGCCCTGGCTCAGATTTTTGAATTTGGAATGAGTCCATCATATTTGATTGAAAAAGAAAAAAAAGAGTGATGTAGAGAAATGTTTTAGAGCCAGCCAACAGTGCCACAATTGGCTTTGGATTTGCTAGGGGGGTACTTGCAAAATTGGGAGTGTGCAAAGAGGCAGGACATGCCCCTGGTAAATGACAAGGGACAACTATATCTCTAACCACAGACACTCCAAGGGGAACGAATGACAGATTCTCGATTAGGTAGATCTTGGACCATGGATGGCCCTTTCCATTTCTCTATGCTGCCTTCAAAGTGACAGCTATGGGATCTGGATCAGGGGTTGGCAAACTAAGGCCAGCAGGATAAATCTGGCCTTCCTACCAGTTTTTGTATGGCCCAGGAGCTAAGCATGGCTTTCACGTTTTTAAATGGTTGGGAGAAAAGATAGGAAGAAGAATATTTGCAACACATGCAAATTATACAAAATTCAAATTGTAGAGCTCATCAATAATGTTTTAGACAGTGGCCGTATGGCTTAACAAAACCCAGCATAATTACCATCTGGTCTTCTACAGAAAAAGGTCACTGGTCTTTGCTGACCACTGGTCTAGATTGTCAAGAACTATTTTGTGAATGGGGCTGCATGGTGAACGATGTTCTGGAACTACAGCCAGGGGGAGAGGGAAGGCAGGAAGCAGATACCAATGGCCATCACTGATGTCACCCTGCTCCATTTCCACCTCCCAAAGACAGACACCACCTTGTAACTACGGTGACCTCATTTCCTGGAAATAATATTTGGCAAATGTGACTGTATTCAAGGGATAAAGGCAATGAGAAATTTCAGATGCGGCAGCCCTGGAGGGTTCATGATCCACAGGGTCTCACCCATGGACCCCAAAGCATTGAGGTTGGGGGCTGAGAGTGGGGACTGACAGCTGTACCTGCACCCGAGCTTCTGGGAGGTTGATCCTGGCTGCCAGGTGGTTGCGGATGTGGACGTCTGGGTAGTGGGTGAAGTGGAAGATCTTCTCCAGCTCATGCAGCTGCTCAGAGGTGAAGGTGGTTCGGACCCTTCGCTTGCTCTTTCTTTCCTCTGGATGAAAGAGGGCTCAAGTTGGGTTAGTGATCTTGCTGTTGGCACCCTGATGAAGCTTTTGTGTTACTTGATTTCACTCTTTCGACCCCTGCTACACTACAGAGTCTTGGCCACTGGCTACTCTGCTCAGAATTTTGCAATATTTTTCAATAGAAATCCTGTCCCTTGGTCCAGCCCTCTGATCGATCCTAAACAGTGGGGTCAAGATAACTTCCTAGAAACTCCCATGATTGTCATTTTGGTGTCCAGATGCCTTCAATGACTCACCTTTGTCTACAGCAGGGCATGGCAAACTGTAGCCTGAGGGTCAAATCTGGCCCGCTGTTTGTTTTTGTAAATAAAGTTTTATTGGAACACAGCCATCCCATTGGTTTATGTATTGTCTATGGCTGCTTTCGCAAGCAGCTCTGAGTAGTTGCAACAGTACCCATATGGCCTGCAAAGCCTAAAATAATTACCATCTGGTCCTTTACAGGAAAAACTTGCCAGCCTTGGTCTACAAAGTAAAAACTGAACTCCAGCAGTCAGTTTCTTACAACCTGTGTCCAATCTAACTGTCCAGCCTTGTGTCCATGCGGGGTTGACTACGTAATCTCTGGGACCCAATGTAAAGGAAAACGTGGTGCTCTTGTTCAAAAAGCAGGAAAAAAAGCTTTTCATTTTCTTCTGCAGTCTCTCTTGACCTGTCAGTGTGGTTTTTTGTTGTTGTTGTTTGCTTAGGTTTTTAAATTTGCCATGTAACGTCATGCTCCCTTGGGCACAGGGTTACTAATAGGGTGAGCGTGGAACCTCACAGGGGCCAGAGCCCACCCATTGACTTGGCACCAGGGTACATGTACCTGAACTTGAGCCTCCTCCCATCCATACCCTGAAACCCCTCCCACCACTGGAATCACACAGGATGGAGGAAGTATCCGTCACTGGGTAGGGATGGGGAAACAAGTGGCCTAGAGCCCATACTGGGAAGGAAGGGTGTTGGGAAGAGGGGCACTGAGCATTGAGTCAAGTCTTCAGGGCCCTGGTGCTTGCTTTCTGGTCCCACTGAACTTCACTTACAAAGTACAGATTCATGCGTAAAATTATTAAGAATTTCAAGATGACCATAAACATTAAAACCCCAAGCGTGAGGCCTCCGTGCAGTACTGTAGGCAACTACACCGGTCCTACCTGGGCCCGGGAAGCCAGGTCTGCACATGTGTGTGTATGATGGGGAATCAGCTATTCTGCTGGGACATGATAAATTTTGAAATGCCTATTGGGTATTCAAAACAACTCTCGAGTAGGCAGATGAATATATGTTTGGAGCTCAAAGTGGGTCTCAGGACTGTGGTTCAAATTTGGGAAGGGTCAGTGCATATTTGGCTGAGATTACTCAGGTGGGAAGGGATGTAGAGAAGAGTGGGGGGTCTGGGAGTAAGCCTGGACCCATCCACTGAGCAGAGGCTCAGCAGCCCATAAGGGAGCTGAAAAAAATCAGTGAGGGACACCACAACGGGCAGGTCCCAGAGACAGGAGGAAAAGGAGGACACCCAGTGACAAAACTCAAGTAAGAGGCTCAGCTGTGTCAATGCTGGGGATAGATTAGTTATAACAGAGACAGAGAAGGGTCATAGCAGTCCTGTGGAATAGGCAGTGAGGGCTCAGTGGGCAGTGAAAGGGGGTTGAAGGGAGGCAGCCACTGCAGACAAGTCCACAAAGGTGTGCTGGGCACGTGGAGGAAGAATGGCAATTGCTAACTGGAGAGAGTGTATGATCCCAGGACTAAAACAGAAAGGACAGGACAACATCATGAAAAGCCCCCAGTAAATGTTCTCCTGCAAATCTCTATGTCAGTCTGTTTTCTGGGGAAGCTGATCTGAGCCAGAGGAAGCTCGGAGGCAAACAGTACCCAAGGAAACAGGGGAAAGAGAGCTTTGGAAAGAAAGGAATGTCCATAGAATTAAAAACAAGTGAGGGTGAAGAGGAAGAAAAGTCAGAAAACATCAATGTGTTCATCAAACACCTATTATGTGCCCGGTGTGGTGCTGGACCCTGACCTTGACCTTGGCCTGCATCCATGCATGCATGTTTATTTAGCTTGTTTTGTTCTAAGATGGATATGAGGCATGTGGTCCTGAATTTGGTGTTTAGGAGGACACTGAAGGTCAGAGGAAAACTACTTGGGTAGAAATATGATGGCAGAAGCCAAGGAATGAGGACGTATGTTTGCTATACCCCAAACATACCCAGTGTGGCGTCTGACACTTCCTAGAGACTGACAAATATAGGTTGAATTAAAGTGGATTGAGGCGTGAGTGGTTGGGGAGAAGTGACAGCAGTAAGTAGGAGAAGAATTCATATATTGAGAAGGTGTTAGAAGGTGGCGGGGGAGGCTGGGGAGAAGTTTCAGACAGTAGCCTGGAGCATGTCAGGAGACCAAGGGGAGAGAGAGGGCTCTGGAGGGGCGCTGGAAGGGACAACTGTGGGATAGACTTGTCAGAGACACTCGCTATACAGGTGAGGGTACCATGTGAGTTTCGGGGCAGGTGAACCAGAAGTTGGGTCTCCAGCAGAGAGTGAGTGAGGTGAAGGGGTCAGGGCAGGAGGGATGAAGAATGGCTTTGGGACAGCTGTTCTGGAGAAGGACCAGGGAAGCATGAAGAGTAAGGAAGATCTCCCATGTGCAGCCTTCCCTGTACATCCTGAAGGGGACAAGGGTCACAGATGGTGGAGGAAGGATGGAATCAGGTGGTAGTGGGTTTGTTTTCCTGACCATGCACTTCCAAGGACAGGGCTGCAACCTAGTTTTTCTTCAAATGAAGTCTACATGATGTAATTCTAGGAACTGTGGGAAAGGTAGAACACCCCTCCCCTTCACTTTTGGGGACCAATGTCAGATGTCACAGGCCAGATGGGATGACTAAAAGGGAGGGTGGGGATCTGAAATCCTCCTGAGGTCTCCTTTCTCCCACCCTGCCCACCCCCCTCAAAAGACGAGGTAAAAGCACTACAGGCTATGAATTGAAGTAGACATTGGGTGAAGAGTGGATCTTAGTTGTGACTGTTTAACAACTGAAGAGTGTGTGTGTGTGTGCATGCATGTGTGATATGTGTATATGTGTATGCGGATGTGTGGTGTGTGTGCATGTATGTCTTGTGTGTGTGTGGTGTGTGTGCACACTTGTTATCTATCCTAATATTTGTTAGAAGGAAACCCACTGAACTGGACATCAGGAGACCTGAGCTCTACAACTTGGGCCACATTTCATTTACATTCTGGGCCTCAGTCTCCCGATCTGTGGAATGGGTGAAGAGAACAGGTCAAATGCACCCTGACGTCCTGTAATTCTCTTTTTCTTCAGGTGGAGGCTGGATGGCCTAAAACACCTTCCCTTGGGCTTGCCTCAGGAGCCGTTTGTTTGGTGGAAGGCGAGGTCCAGAGAGGAGAAGCTACTCCTATAGCTGAAGCTACTCCTCAGTCTCTGGGATTAACCAGGCCCATTGACCTCAGTGGTAGAAATGGCATCTCATAGTCTGCCTTTGGTCTCATCCCTCTCTATTACCCCTCAAGCTTGTTGTTAATAATTTTCTCTTCCCTCAGAGGACTTTGACTCATTTTGATAACTCTTGGGAGCTTCTTGGGAGTCACAGACAGTGAGGTTTCAAACATTATCACCTTCTAGAACAAGCTCTTGGACTGTGAACCACCTGATAGGACCTGAGAGAGCTCCTTCCCTATCTCTTTTGCCCTCCCAGGTCTACCTTCTTTTTTAAAATTTTTAAGAAGAGATATTTATTCTATGTTTAGAGCTAGCAGTGTGTTTAAGGGTAGAACTGAAGCCAGTAAGAATTGATACAGAGGGAGATGGCAATGTCAACACATTGCTGAGTCTTAAGGAATATGTCCTTTGTGCCCAGCATCTCGTAGGCACTGGGGGCCTATCTGCAGGAGTACGAAAATGAACAAGCCATGACGACAATATCATACTCATTCAATCACAAGGCCAGCATTTTAGGTGATAGTAATACTGTGCAGTTCTATGGGACATTGCAAAAAAAAAAAAAATTCACAGGATGGAAGATTCCAGGTTTCCTGGGCAAACTGTGGTGTCTGGGACAGTTTGGAGTTAGGATTCTTCCGGGAGTACAGAGCTATGGAATGGGGGATCCTGGACAGAGAGTGTAGGGTGCAGAACCAGAACATGGGAAAGCAAGCACCATGGAGAACAGAGGATTAGAAACAATGTAGATGATGACAAAAAGAAGCCACCTTCTCCATTCTCTCCAGAAGGAAACTTAGGCAAACAAGGGTATATGACTAAAAATAGACTCCTTAATAGAATAATTTTTTCAATGCTTCCATTTGTGTAATTAAAGGAGAAACTTTTAAGATATATGTGGCTTTTCCCTATTTCTGGCAGGACTGGAGGGCATAATTTGGAGAAAGAAAGGATCTACTTCTTTTCTGCATAGTAAGTGACCTCTGACTTTGTGGAGAGTGGGCTGTCTGGCAAATTGCTGGTCAGTTAGAAAAATATGTTTTCAGGGTGGCTCAGTGGGTTAAAGCCTCTGCCTTGAGCTCGGGTCATGATCTCGGGGTCCTGGGATTGAGACCCTCATCGGGCTCTCTGCTCAGCAGGGAGCCTGCTCCCCCCCCGCCCTGCCTGCCTCTCTGCCTACCTGTGATCTCTTTCTGTCAAATAAATAAATAAAATCTTTAAAAAAAAAAAAGAAAAATATGTTTTCATATTAGTTCTGAGCTACACGTTCTCAGATGTTTGTCTTTGAGAGATGATGATGATGATGATATGGTGATGATGGTGATGGTGATAATGATGGTGATGATGGAGACGGCGATGATGATGATGGTGGTGATGATGATGATGATGGTAGTAATGGTGATGATGGTGATGATGATGATGATGGTAGTAATGGTGATGATGGTGATGATTATGGTGGTGGTCATGATGGTGTTGATGATGGTGATGATGATGACAATGATGACGTTGGTGGTGGTG